CGCGCGCATATAGATATATATCCCACATATCAAATATTTCTCTTGACATCTATATATATATATATATATATGAAGGTGTCACATGTATGTGTGCCATCCACGCTGCGACTGTGCCCCTCCGCACACTCTGTGTGTATATATATATATGTATATTTATATATGTATATATATATATATATATATATATATATATATATATATATATATATATATATATATATATATATATATATATATATATATATATATATATATATATATATATATATATATATATAGTGTTTCTCTTTACTTCATAATTGTTGTGTCTGATTTCGGTAGAGTATGGATCATCAGAATTAGTATCGACAACGATGGATATTTATAATTATGGGATTTTATTGATATAAACATTTACAGGAGATAAACCAACTGATGAAATGTTTTTAGCAGAGTTAACTAGGGTTGGGCTGGGTTGGGTCGGTCCATTACCAGCCGAAAACCGACCCATCTGTCAAACCATTTTTGCCCAATTTTCAAAACTGTTGCCGACACAACCTTTGTGGGTCGGTTGATGGTTGACAATCGAATATTTGATTCCAGAATGGGTCGGTTGATGGTTTATACTCGCCAGCTAGTTTACTAATTCTTTTTTTTCAAATTTTAGAGTAAAAATATCCACATTATGCGTAATGTCACAGTGCGATCATTATTTATCAGTTCAAAATAATTAATAACAATTTAACAAAAAAATATAATTAGGAAATTCAAATAATTTCAAACATGCACAAGGGATTTATTGGTGTTTTGTGAGCTTTTTGTTTAAGCTTGAGCATAAAGAAACTGGTGGAAGATTTAGGTCATTTTTCCTTTATTGATTGTTTTGATAATTTCAATAATCACTTAAGAAACACGACATTTATTTTATATTTTTAATAAAATTTTAATAATATAGTTGGATGAACGGTAATTATCGGTCAACCAACTTTTGATAATATTAGAAACCACCAACCGACCCATTATAGATGGGTTGGTTGAAATTTTCGACCTGATCCAATGGGTCGGTTAAAAATTGATTATCCGCCTAAAAATATGGTCGGTAATGGGTCGGTTGGTGGCTAAAAACCAACCCTGCCTAGAGTTAACCATGAAAATTTGGGTGCTTGAGTCATTTCTTGGTGCAGTAATGCAGATTGTCGATGAAAAGTTACTAAATACGAATGTAGAGTGTAGACTGCATTCGTTGCACTTGGGATCGGTGATTAGAATAGCTATAGATTGTGCTTTGTATATTACTAAGGAGATGCCTAATATGGAAGTTGTTCTTGTGATATTTAAGAAGATCACTATCGAACTTCACGAGGCGAAAACTCGAAATAGGACTAAATCAGTAGGATTTTATCGGTAGTAATTTTTTGTTTTATTATTTTTAATAAGGTGTCCGAGTTTTCTTTTTATTTTCAAATTATGTTCGACCCACAGTTATAGCTCATAGTTTTATAATTACCATATAAAAATCTGTGGCTAAGCATATATACAAAAACGATTCACCATTACGAGAAGTCGAAAAGTGTGATAGTTTCTCAAACCACGCATATTATCATCCTTGTAACAAATCAAAAGTATTACACATGCAATAAAAAGGTCCTCACTAGTAGGAAGGCCATACTCGTTCGTAGTAAAGTTACTGTAGTTTGTAAGGAGCAATAGATGAATCAACGGAGAACGCTCAAGCAACCAAATCATTCGTCTAATCCACAAAGAAAGATTTGCATAATTTACACGAAAATGCAGGCAAATCTAACGCAGCATCGGCAGTTACTTTGTCTTCATCAAGTATGTCGAGGCTGTTTAATATATTGCCCTGCATTCATTCGAACACAAGTAATCGTAAACCGCTTCAGATAACAGAAAACAGAAAACAAAAAGATGTACAAATATTTCACGTACTTACCGCACTACATGATCTTCGAAGGTAGCCCACAAGCAGCAACTTCATCTTACTATTATCATATTTGTCGATATCACTTTCGTTGATTATGCATGGTTGCTGGAGGAGTAGAAAAATGTCACCGTGAGAACAGGTTTGCATTCAAATTTATAATGAAATACGACAAGGGGATAAAAAAAAAACAAGAACAGAGAGAAATCTGAAAACTAAAAACAAGAATGTTGTTGGATATTATCAAAGAACCGGGATAAAATTCGTGAAGCAGTAAGATCAAATTGTGACTACAAAAGCAAGTAAGAGCTCCCGTTACGTATTTTGGAATCGTGACTAAGAAGGTACTATGTTCTTTTAAAAGCTTTAAGAACTACATCCCGAGTAATCTTCAAATTATTTTCAAAGGATAAGTGTTAAAATATTCAACTCACAATTTTCCTCGTAGAACCACAAGCAACACGGCTCCAACCTATGCTGATCACAGCCTTCAACAGCTTCTGGCCATCAAATTTGACCCATCCAATGTAGAGTCCCCATATTTGATCAGGAAGAACAGATACTCCACTATCTGCATCGATCGACATTCTTTTTTTTAAATATTTGTCAACGACAATAAATGTAAGGCCAAACTGCAGATAATAGAAGAAAAAAAAATCTAAATAAACGTGATACCTGAACATGTGTGGAGAAGCCCATTGCTAAAGACACCTTCTAGATGAATGGGTTCAATAGGCAACGTATTGTTAATCCCTGCAATAATCAAATCGAAATACGACTCTTTTTTACTATATAAAAAGGTTATAAATTATGATGAAATGAAAATTGGAAAGAAGAGACGCACAATCTACAAATTGTGGAAGACCCCATTGTTCGGGCTGGAACTGTAGGAGAGAGTGAAGGACAGAATCGGCATTAGAATATGAATCGGGTTCGATTTGGAGTGACGGCACTGCTACAACCTTCATTCCAGCAGCCTTTCCTGCTTTCACTCCGACACTGTTGATAATAACAAGATGTGGAGTTAGTCACATTTCTAGTAGATAGTAAAATCTAGAATCAGTTCTGGCAATTATATGGTGCTAGAAAAATAGCTAGTAAAAAATTCCAATGTGAGCCAGGGACGAATTTACGGTTATACCCAGTGAAGTATAATAGTAAAACTTACAGTGAGTCTTCGATCACAAGACAATGCAATGGATCCACTCCCATTCTTTTTGCCGCTTCTAAAAATCTGATCATCGCATAACATATACTCAGGCGTAGATAGATATTAACACAATCGAGAAACAATAGTACATGATTCAATCGAATATATATATATATATATATATATATATATATATATATATATATATATCTTACATGTCCGGAGAGGGCTTCCCGGATTTGACCTGGTCACTTCCAAGAATTACTTTAAAACCTTCTTTCCAACCTTCAATAAAAGTAAGAAAATAAAACTCATCTCAAGTATTTGGATTAATCTGAATGCAGTAAAAACAAAAACATAAAAAAATTATAAAACTGGATATACATGATTATATAATATGTAACATAAAAGAGTCAAAGTTCTTAAGATTGGATATGTATAAGCATATATAGATACACAAAAACTACGTCACAAGTATGCTATGGAAATCAAATGGAGTTTGAATTTTGCTTGCAATTATAAAATTATTTGGATGTATAATTTGCTTACACGTGTAAAAAAATTAAATTTTTTTTGATATATCTTCCAATTAATTAATTTATAATTTGTTCACCCAGTATATGTGTGAAAGTGGCGCTGGCCAGAAAA